TAGGGCCTGCGAAACAACGAAAGACTTCAAACATATTTTAAAACAGAGACTTGTAGAAACATTTAAATTGAGGACCAATCTTAAGACATTTTGATGTAAATAGCATATATATTTGTGTAGTAATACCAAGTGTGTGTGTGTGTGTGTGTGTGTTGTGTGACTGTGTGTTGTTATGTGTGTGTCTCTATTATTATGGTGTATAAAAATTTAGATCAATTATGTAAAATTTCGCTGAAAAGCCTTTTAAGGGATGTGAAATTAAAATACAATAACAATAATAACAATAGCATCCGGTGTTTAGTATTTACTAATTTAGTATACATGTTTTCAGGTTTTGGTACCAGTATTGATTTAAGACAGTTGTGATGTTCCACTTCACTTGACCAGCTTCATTGACCACAAACTAGATGTCTCTGAGACGGTCCTTGTTTTTGCGAATGCATTCTTTGAATGTCTTAAATTGCTTCAAAAGACAGAGGCATTTTACCTCACCACATAGCGGACTACACAGATTTCTGGGGAATGAAAACTGTCCTTTATTAAGATGGCTGGCAACAGAAACAAATTCATCATTGAATTGGTGACTTAGGCTCCCTGGATCATGAAAGTCGAAAGATTTCATTTCAAACATCTTGATGATATCTTGTTCTTGTTCACCCTGTGCCAAGAATGTTGCCCCTTCCCACAATACTGTTTCAATGATGTCCTCTGGTGTTAACTCCTGGCGGTGTTGCTGATTTCTTAGCAGTGGTTGGAAACGCATGTCATATTGCATGATGTTTACCTGCTGGTCAGGTGTATTTGCATCTAGTGCGAAATGACCTGTGGCAATATACTTAGAAGATGACGTTGAAGCCTCCTGTTCAGTGGGTTTTCCAACACAGGAAGATCATTCATTCTGTTGATGTTGCCAAGAAATTTATCGACATTTGCTTTGTCATCCCATAGTGGATATATGTCAGACTGGGCTGCTTCACTAGCGAACACAGACTGATTGAAGACGTCAGCTAGTATCACCAGAGTTGGCAGAAACAGTGGACTCACTAGGTTCTTTAAATGACCTTGAACATCCATGTCACCACCAGCAGATTGCTCTTGCCACATTAGTTCCAAGATGTAGATTCGCTAAGAAATGCAGTATATCTAAGGTTCCCGTGCTGTTTTGGAGATTGGCATATTTTTGAAATCATAGGCCCCATTTACATGAGCCGGAATGAAGTCAAAGCGGGACCATTTCGTTTCAGTCATAGTATTATTTATAATAGATGTTTGCAAAAGATGGCTGCGAAGTTAAAAAATAAACGGTGGTTATTTGACGATGGCATTACAGCAAATTTGGTAGAGTGCCTTAAAAGTTATAAAGTAGCTAAAGAGAGTGACGGAATCATTTTGAAGCCTCCTTTAGTTAAATTATACAGTGATATACGAAGGCTGATGGCTGAGATATACAATGAAGAGAATTTTGGGCCAGTTCAACATGCAGCCGCAACAACAGATGTGAATGACATGTCTAAAGAAGACTACAAAGCATTTAAAGATAAATTTGACAAAGAACAAAAGTCAATAAAACTTGGGTATGAGCGAGTTAAAGCAAAGGTAAAGAAACTTCATTCTTCATTCCAAAAAGCTGTTGTGGTCGGTACCAGATCTGGCAGTGGAAAAATTATTAAAGAACACTGTGAATCTCTTATCCAAATCTGGGGTGGTGCCCCTGATACTCTCCCCTTAGAATATGGTGAAAGCAGTCTAACTGGTGTTCACCCTGAGGCTGAAAACAATGCCAACTCATTTGAAGAACGTGATGTATTAAAGCTTTGTGAAGATGAACCTTCTAACACTGGTTTTGAAAATCTGCAGGGAATTGGTAAAGAGCAGAAGAAAAGAAAGTGCCTAACAGCTTTGTATGTTGACGAGAAATGAAAAAAAAATGGAACAATGTCTGAGTAGCAAACAAGAGATGCTGCTATGTTACAATACATGAAAGAAGATTTATCCCTTAAGAAAAAAAGTATGACAGGAGGGGAAAGCAGTTCCATGGAGATGTTAAGTCGTGCTATAATGACTGGTTTCAATCAGCTAGCTACAGCTAATCCGACAAGTCATCCACAGTTTCCTCAACAGTACTCAATGCCTGGAAATTTCACCCAAGTCCTGCCTTGTCAAGGAAATACAGCTAATTTCTCTTATCCTCAGACAAGGTATAGTGGCTTTCCCCAGCCTTGGTAGAAGACAAGACAGGACTTTATTTATACACTCTTGAATCAAATTACAATTATTTAAAAAGGAAATTGATACAAATTATTTGAGCGTATAGACTACCTGGAATAACTATTTATAGCTAATGATTCAGGAGGTCTTTAATCGGGGATTATATAGTATTAGAGAATAATTTTTTTTAGGAATGTCTATATAATACCAATTATCATTACAATATTAAATATAACAATAGGCATCCCTAAAATATTCAATGGAGTAATTATAAATTATATATAAATTTCATAGATATATTACATTACAAACAAAACACAAGATAAAAACATCACAAACACAATACAGAATCTATCATCATATAGACAGTTTATTAGATTATACCATGCTTTAGAAAATTATCAGCACTTCCCGCAATATATAGAGTAGGAATCACCGATAATTCTCAAAAAAAGTTTTTATTTCTGATTTAATTTAAATTGGTTTAGTGAAAAATTTTTTAGGTCATCTTGTATATCATTCCTGTCAGATATTAATGTCTGATATTAAAAATACCATAATTCGTTCTTGGATTAGGCAGGTAATAAGCCTTTTTACATGCCAATCTGGTATTATAGGAATGTACTTGATTAACAGGTATAAAAAAATCTTGGAAAATCTTAGAAAGCAAATTATTGTTTAATTGGAACATAAAGATTGAAATTTGGAAATTGACTAAGTCAAACATCTTAATGATATATAATTTTAAAAATAAAGGTGCTGAATGCTCATCAAAGTTTGCAAAGCTAATTATACGAATAGCCCTTTTTTGCAGCACAAATAATGGTTGAATTGTGGTAGAATATGTATTACCCCAAGCGAGTATTCCGTATATTAAGAATGGATAAATTAAAGAGTAGTATAAATTGGTGAGTATTTGTGAATTTACATAGTAGCGTATTTTGGATAACATACCAATGCTTCTTTCTATTTTGGCCGAAATATGGGCAACCTGAGGTTTCCAGCCTAACATTGGCATCTATATAAATTCCTAAATATTAATACAGTCTTTGTGACGTAAATATTTTTGGTTTATAGTTAAATAAAGTTAAATGTAATTTTCCTTTGGGGTGGATGAAAAAGAACATAATTAGATTTTTCGATGTTTAAAGATAATTCGTTAGCACATAGCCAATCACGAACATTCATCAATTCATTATTTGTGTTACTTTCTAATAAAGTAATCTTTTTTTCTCTTGAAAACAAATTTGCATCATCTGCAAATAGATTAAAATCAAAATAATCAGAATAGAGATGAATGTCATAAATATGTATATTAAAAAAGTAGAGGTCCTAAGACTGATCCTTGAGGGATACCACATGAAACTGGCACCAAAATGGACGATACATTGTCTATTGTAACATACTGTTTGCGATCGGAAAGATAAGACGAAAACCATTTCTTTGCATTGCCTCGAATGCCATAATACTCTCATTTTTTTAATAATATTTCATGATTGACTGTGTCAAAAGCCTTACTAAAATCCAAAAATATACCACATGAATAATCATGTTGATCAATTGCCCTCTGTATTTTATCAACAATCTTTAAAAGTGCAAAATCAGTAGAATATTTTGACCTAAAGCCAAACTGATTGTCGAATAAGATTTTAAATTTTTCTAAAAAATTGAGTAACCTTTTTGACACAAGTTTCCCTAACAATTTATCAAAAACAGACAAGAAAGAAATAGGTCGATAATTAGCTAAAGGTAGTGGTGTGTTCACCTTTTTTGTAAATCGGAAGTACTTGTGCTAATTTAAATTGTACAGTAGTACAAGTACAAGGCCAGCAAATATCATATTACTTCTACGAATTCGTTGTGCATAAGGCAATTCATTGACAATGCAGTGCATAAGGCAATTCATTGACAATGCAGTACAAAGGCCAAATCGCAAGTTTAGACGATTTAAAAACTGGAATACCGTCTGTGTTCCACGTAAAAGAAATATTCCGTTGATCAGACAGTATACCGCCATTTTGGAAGTACTTTTGATATTGATTTCCATCATAGATATCTTCGAGGTTTTCACGATCCTTCTTGATTCTTTTGAAGCGAAAACTAAGTGAATTCCACATACCAGGAGTTCCAAACATTGAAAGTAATTGTTTTTCCATTGGTACTTCAATGAAAAAACTGACATTGCCAGTCACAGTTAAATCTTGCTGACATAAAGCGTTTGGACAGGTTTTCGTTTCATCATCGATAGCGACAGTACAACGAGCACAGTACTTGTGGTATTTCAAAGGACTCTTTAAGTGCTGAAAATACTTTTTGAATTTGAATAATGATTTGAAGCAATAGTTTGGAGTCCCGCAATGCAAGCTAATCAGCCCTAGTAGGTCATGCAATGCTTTACCCGATAGCAAATGTCTCATTGCAAAGGTAATAATAAGTAAAGCACTGAGTCCGACGGTAAGTGGGCAGTTTTCGTACAGTGCTTTGTGATCCAGATCTTCGGATTCTGCGGTGTCAGTGTTACTAGTGTTAGCAAATTCAGTAAATTCGGTGTTTGCGAGATTATTACAGTCTGATGTTTCAGAAGCGTCATACCATAGTTCATCGTCATCGCTTTCATCCATTTCGCTTTCAGTGTGCACCATTTCGTCTTGAAGAACGTCCTGTATTCGGTCCAAATAGTCAAATACCCATTCACTTTCTTCATTTGTCTCATTCTCCGTTAGTGGCGGTGGACTTTTGTACACATCTTCAATTTCAGTTTCGACATTTGTTTCAGTATTCACTGCTGGAATGTAGGGAACTGACAGGTCATTGCTCAGTGTATTTAATAGTTCATCTTCACTTAGTTGGTCACAATGATCTGATTCCTCATCCTCGGGATCAATATCAACGGAAACGGTGCTTTGCGTTTGGTGCTGTCTTTCACAACATGGGAAAACGACCAACCCTAATTCTACAACATCTCTCTGTACCGAGGCGAAATTTCCATCTCTAGCTGTAGCTGCTGCTGTTATTTCTTGTATGACTTCTACCTTTTTTTTCCTCTTTCTTTTTGATTGTCCGTCAGACATCTTCCCGAACAATATGCTACTGAAATGCTGAGTTTACACACACAGATGGGATTTATCTATAGTAAGCTGCGGGCTATATGCCAATATGGATAATTTTAAATTAAAAATTAGATAAGATCGGCATCCAGTATAGTTTGCTTATTGAATACAATGTCATTTCGCACTTAAAACCTTGCTCGCTGATTCGTGCATCGAAATATTTTTGGTTTTGGCGGTCAGAATCAAAATTCATCTAGCCTTATAGGTAACAGAGCGAATTTATAACTCGGAGTTTAGTATGGCTGAAGAGCGTTATGCCCTCGTGTTTTGGATTGAGGATGAACAATATAGTGTGGTTGAACGCAAAGATATTATTGGAAAAGTAGAAATCAATAAAACTCTACCGGTAGCTTGGCGGACAAAGAAAAAAGGGTCTGTACATGTTGTCAGAAACTGGTACGAAGCAACCATATTGAAATTCTCGGGTAAGTCTGATTGATTTTCATTAACTGTGAGGGTTATATTTGATCACAATCTAAGACAATCAACTTTGCATGAATTCTGTTTGCCTCTTTGCACGAATTCTGTTTGCTATCATTTCACATAGTCATAGTTTAATATCGATCGAGGCTTAATGTACTAAATAGACTTATATTTTTGTTTTGTGGTTTAGAAGTCTTATTTTGATTTTGTATACCCTTTAAGAGGTACCGAATATTTCTCAACCCCAAAGATCGCCTAAGATTGAATACATTTTTTTTTGCTTGCTTACATGAGCACTATATGACACAAAATGCAACCAAAATTGGGTATACCAATTCTCGAGTGATGTCCGTGTTGACAAAAATGTCGCTTGCTTAAGCTCATGTCAGTGGCGTAATAACTAGGCATGCAGGTATAGTATAGCTTCCGCTATGCTTAGTACGCTAGTAATAACTATACTAGTAATACCACTGCTACAAAATTCATGTACATAACTTTCAACTACTCAATTTTTGCAATTGAGTTATTAAGAAAATAAAGCGCATTTAAATAAACAGTAATTCGTAATATCGTAAGGCTTTGAGTTGAGGCGCCAAAAATTTTCAACCCACGCAGTTTTGGCTTGCGTGAGCGTTTGGTGCAGAACACATTTTTATCTATTTATCTCGTCCATTAACAGTTTATCGGCAAAACGCCAGGTTTCCGATCGATGTCAAGCGGGTGGTGCTATTAATGACCAGAAGGCATGAAACTGGCTTAGTTATTGCTCTTAGCGCTTCAAATTCATATGCAGTGTCAATAATTAAACTCTCTCCCCTCGGTCTTTCTGATCACGTAACGGTTAAAGTTTTACCGCTCTCTCGAACAACAACATCCAAGTCCAAGTCCAAAACAAGCATTAAAACAAGGGACATTAGACCAACGAAACGTTTAGCAATGAGAACATATTTGGAAGCTGTTAACATTCAAACCTTGATAATAGATCACCTAGATAACATTGATAACCTAGATAATAAGATCTCTTGTGAGGAAAAAACTATGATGTTGGAAAAAATCGTTAGCACAGGTATGAATTCCCTTCTTCCAATGAAGAGGAAAACGATCATAGCTAACGAGCCCCCATGGCTCAATGAAAACCTTAAAAAGTTGATACGTGTGCGCCAGGAAGCCTTGTCCTTGGGTGACATGGTTACCTTCTGATTACTTAGGAATCAAGTTAATCGAGAGAGGAAGTCAAGCCGTGCAAAATATTACGATTCAAGAGTTAAACAATTGAAAGAATGTGATCCTTCCGGTTGGTGGAAGGAAATTAAGAAACTTAGTGGGATGTCTGCAGTGTCAAGTGACAGTACAACTTCAATTCTACAACATGTTGTTTGTGACCCAGTCGAACCGACTCCACTTAATATTGCCAATGTTATTAACAACGCATTCCTTGCCTCAATGAGTGACTTTTCTCCATTATCTCCCAACGTCCGTCTTGCCACCGATAAAGAACCCCCATTTACCGTCACAGAGCAATCAGTTTTTCAGAAACTGTTAGCACTAAATCCAACCAAAGCAACTGGGCCAGATGGTATTCCCTGCTGGCTTTTAAAAGAGAACGCCGATATTTTCGCACGACCAGTAATGTCGATTATTAACTGTTCATTCTTGGAGTCTCGCTTACCTCCTTCATGGAAGGAAGCCGATATAGTACCAATACCTAAGCAAAAACCTGTCAATGACGTAAATAAAGATCTAAGACCAATCTCTCTGACTCCAGTACTCTCTAAGGTCGCTGAGGATTACGTAGTTGAATGTTTTGTAAAACCAGCTGTATTGAAAAAAGTTGACCCACAACAGTTCGGTACATTACCTGGCTTGAATACCACCTATGCTCTTATTAGCATGCTACATAAATGGAACTGTGACACCGATGGTAATAGTGCAACAGTGAGGATCGTATTGTTCGACTTCAAAAAGGCCTTCGATCTGATCGATCATGATATTTTAATTCAGAAACTAGTGTCGTACGAAATTCCAAATAATGTTGTCAATTGGATAATAGATTTCTTGTTGAACCGCAAACAAAGAGTTAAACTCTGCCAAGATTGTGTTTCGGAGTGGGGCTCGGTCCCCGCGGGTGTACCGCAAGGAACAAAATTGGGCCCATGGCTGTTTTTAGTCATGATTAACGATTTAAATGTCTCTAATGATGTGATGTGGAAATATGTGGACGACTCAAACATCTCCGAAACTGTTAAAAAAGACGAAGTAAGTCATATCCAATCAACCGTAGATGAGTTCGTACGCAAGTCCAAAACCGAAAAGTTCGTGCTGAATGAGCGCAAATGTAAAGAAATGAGAATTAGTTTTACGAAATCGGAAAAAGTCTTTCCACCCGTTACGATAAATAACGCCCCCCTTGAAATTGTCCCACATGCCAAAATTCTGGGCCTGAATGTATCCGACAACTTAAAATGGAATTATCATGTTAGCGAACTCGTTAAAAAATCTTCAAAAAGATTGTACTTCCTAACTCAGTTAAAGCGTGCCAAAGTGGGTTGTTTGGAATTGGTACAATTTTTAAAATCCTGCATCAGATCTTTAATTGAATATGCTTGCCCAGTGTATCACGATGGTCTCCCAACGTATCTTTCGAGTGATCTCGAAACTATTCAAAGACGAGCAATGCGAATCATCTACCCCACAGAATCTTACGAAGATGCCCTACTATTATCAGGTCTAACTTCCCTATTCCTACGGCGCCAACAGATTACTAACAAAGTCTTCCTAAATATTATGAACGATGATGCACACAAATTACACGAACTACTGCCTGCTAAAAACAATATCTCGCTTAATTTACGGAAAAAGTCGAAATTCAATAACCCAAGAGTAAAAACGAACCGTTATAGAAATAGTTTTATCATCAGTAATTCAATTAAGGCATAATTAACAATAGTATTAGGCAATCTAAGTATAAACACGATCAGTTCAAGAACTGTTTTAAACAATGAACCATTTCAGAAATAGTTTTTACCGTAACCTAATTTAGGCATAATTAGCATCTAGGTATAGTATTTTCTAACTTGTACATATATAATGCATAGTGGAATTCTCCAACATGTTTTAAGATCCTCTCTTTTATCAATTCTTGTAAATTTTACTTAATTCAGCTTATGGCTGCAATGTAAATTTCAATAAACTATCTATCTATCTATCTATCTAATATTGTATGTGAACGGAAAAGCTAAACGACAACTATTACAATTCCATGTCCATGAGACATCAGCCTCGGCATACCAAATACAGAGCATTTTGGCTTGCTTTACTTTGAAATCACTAACAGTACAATACTCAACATGGTAACATGATGTTTTAATTTATTGAAGTGACAAATTAGGGTAGCCCTGTGGGGATGGCATTTGATTCTTGAGTGAGTTTAGTACATATTCAAATTGACATAACTCGTCTTTTTCTAATTATTAACACATTCGAAAATTAAAATTAGATACATCTAATAAATAAGCCACATACAATTAAGGCTTAGCTAAATGAGTTGGAATTGTAGCAATAAGCAAAACTCAGTTAAATAATATATAAGAATTTCGTTTAATTGTCGCATTAATTAAATTTGGGTCATATTAGTAACAGTTGCACGTCTTTGAATATCGCAATTGTATAATTATCTCCTGAACTAGCTTCCTATGTATACTGTGCAACATGCATATATAGCTACGTAATACTTATTGTAAATCATGCAATTTTCTTTTTAAGATAATGAAGAAAATTTGCAGTTGCTCTGTTGTCAATATGCCGAAAAGCGGGAAGCTGAATTGAATAACGTTGATGGAAGGAAGCGAAAACGTAAAAAAAGTGCAAAATTAAGAGAGCAACATGATGATTTTGGAACAGAAGAAGATCGTGAGGAAGTTATGCCTGTTATAGAAAAGAAGAGTAAAACAAAAAAAAACATGCATCGGATAGAAGCATGATCATGGCCAAAGGTAAGGGAAAGAAGGAAGCCACTGATAAAGTTATCCAGTTTGAAAGCGCAAAAATCATGGCACAACAAGTTATCGCCGCAATGCAGTCAACTGAATCATCGGAAAAGTCGCCAGCTGAAGAAAACAATGTTATTTTGGTCCATGAGGAACAGCAGTTGTCCATTTCAACCGACCCCAATTACGACAAAGACTTAACCAGCAGCAACCTGTCACCGTTGCCACCACCAAAACCAACAACTCGTGAAAACGAATCACTTTCCCAAACCTCACACAGGAATAGTTTCAGTACTCCTTTCAGCTCTTCCGATCTAATGGCTAATTCCCCTACATACATAACTCTTACGACCCCAAAACCACGCCAACGGAACCTTATTCCAGATCATGACCCAACACTGTCACCTACTAAAACTACTACGTCTACGCCAGTTAACCGCGTTGCTTCGGCAAGACAACTTCATTTTCAACCTGACATATCAACTGGTTCTACACAAGAACTTTCTTCCGAGATAAATAACGCTATCTGCCTTTCTTACAACTGTACCCAGTGGCAAGCTGAACATGGTGACGCTGATTCTGTTCGGCCAAAATGTGAATGCGAAGAGCTTAGAGAAGAGAATTCAAGGCTGAAAGCAACAATTGAAAAGCTACAACTTGAACAAGAAAGGTCTACAAGTAAGTTTATATTCATGTCACTCATGCAATCACAGACTCATGCATGTTCTTCCTTTTTTCAAACCTCGTCTTGAAACAAATAAATCATAAAAATCAGCAAGTGATTTCCAAAATCATTGCAAAATCAGCGAGCGATTTCCGGGGCAGGACACGTTTTAGATGTAACTACTAGTCTCTGAAGATGTTGTAGCTCAGTAGATGCCACGAAATGTCAGTACACATGAAAATGAGATAACTTTTATAAAATACCGCGTTGTTTCAATTTTATGCTCGGTGTTTTTAGCAAGAATACATAATATATACTTTCTGTTACTTCGATTTAGATCCTTCACGACCCATGGCCATATACATGGCCCATGCATATGTTTTTCGGATTGAGGACTCTCATGCAATTATCGCTCTTTCATTTGCTATTTTTTAGTGCCCGAAGCTCCTGCTGCTGCTGTTATGTGCCTCGAATCCTTAACAAAATACCTTCGTGGCATTCATACACATGCAAATGACGAAATTGTACTAGTACAATCTCCCCAAAACCACGCATCTGAATCTCACATCGCTCATTTGAACACGATGCCAAAGTTGAAGCCAATGAAGGTAGGCAAATTACATCATCAGCTTATATACTTCAACCTTAATTTAATGGCTAGTGGCGCAATGATCAATAATATCTCGCAGTATAGTTAACCAAGCTTAGCCAACTTCAGCCAGTTATAGCTATATAACTTCAGTTCATTATATGTCTAGCAATTTGGACAAAGCTAATGCCAGTAGTATGCCGGCACAATGTCATTATGTTAAATTTTATTTCTCAACGTTTCTTGTTTTCTGTCTCCTGCAGATGCCTCAAGTCAGTGCCGTTGCAAGACCGTCAAACATTACAACAGTGAAAACAGTAACTTTGTCTTCATCGCACTTCGAGGATGGTGATGGAAAGCAAGAATTGTGCCCGGGATCTGGAGTGTATATCCCTACAATAAAGCTTCGCCAGTGCCATCACAAAGCTGGTGCAGAAATGAAAGTGCTCTTCCACGTATTAATGGATCATTTCTTTACCGACGAAATCCTGGCAAAATCAATTGCTTTTGGAAACCGTGTGGTGCCAAGTGGAAAAGAAGTACTGAATCCGAAAATCGTGTCGGCTATTAAAGGTATAACGATTAATATTTACATGTTGTCTCAAAGTTCAAAATGTTAAAGTAAATTAAATACGGACTATTCTTGTTTCAGGGTACTTGCTCTCCGCAGCTAAAGTATTCAATGTTACACCCCTTGACGGTGCCAAATTGAACAAGATGTTCACCAACAAGTGCACTACTGCTCAAATAAAAGCGAAGAAGAAACTGATGATGGCCAAGTAAAATAACCGTAGGTCAATCTACGGGGAAGGTTAGACATTTCAGTTGCCAATGACAATCACGAAGTTTAGAAAACTGATCTGATTTTTGCAGAGCATGTTCAATTGCATATATACAGAGATTATAGATTAAATATATATATATATATATATTTATTTATTGTTATTATAAACATTTGAATTTTATATCAGTGGAAAATAGTTGCTTTAAGTTTTATGATTAAAGATTTTGAATAGAACTATTTCAATCGTCTTTGCATCCGGCCAAATTTGTGCACGCTAGCTATACTACGCAATCGCATAGCGCTCACATGTGCGCGAAGGCATGCCATATACGGTGCTAATAGACCATTCAAAGACATTTCTAGACATTACTAGACCTTTCTACACATTCAAAGACCTTTCTAGATATACCAAGACCTTTCTAGACATTCCAAACATTTCTAGACTATTTCTAGACCATTTGAAGACGTTTCAAGACATTTCACGATAATTGCAAAATGTCTAGAAAAGGTCTTCAGAGCTGTCAATTTTAGCTCAAAATACAGACCATCGCAAGACTTTTCCCTGAGGGTCTTTGTAGATCTATTCAAGACCTTTATAGACAATTTTCTAGATCTACTCAAGACCTTTTCAAGACCTAAAATAGATCTATCATTTTCCTACGGGCAGTAATAATTTGGCACTTTTCTAGACCTTTGTCAAGGGTGTATATTAAACTTAATAATAAAACTATATGAAATAATATATTAAACATACTTGTGCTTTTAACAATATGAAATAATATATTAAACATTTGAATGCTGTTAAAGATATGTTAGCATTTTAATACATGAATAAGGATTGTAATTACAGAAGAATTACAGCATTGAATGTGATATATCAGTGTATTTATCCTTAACCCATTAAGCTGCAACTGTGTTGCTTTACTTTTCCTAATGGCAGACAATTTTACTCGTCAAGTCTTGCAAGCTCTTTATTAACGAGCTTCAGTTGTATAAAATGATATGTTTGTAAAAGCTGGAAGATGTACGAGCACTGAGACAATGCCTCAAATGTTCTCTTTATATATTTTCAGATTAATATTGGAACTGGGTTATAGCCTAGCTCCAAATATTGTTCTCAAGTCACAACAATCAGATCTGGATTGAGTTGACAAACTGGTGTTGTAAGGTAAGAAATAACAAGAATAAATAGTCTGCCTTTAGTTAAAATGACAAACTGGCCCAGCTAAGGTGGCCACCCAGGCCAGACAAATCAGTCTCGATCTTATAAACAGCCCCTACAAAAATTTAGTAACTAGTAACAACATAATTACACATGAATCCTGTGATTTAAGGCCTGTTAACACTGATACTGTGCTCAATTTTGGTACCTGTAACATGTTTACCATGCTTGGACTACCTATTCATACAGGGCGAGCACAGATAAATTTGGTACAGGCACCAGTTTTATCTGTGCCGTACCAAAATTTGAGCATAGTGTACAACAGGGGCCGGTTGTTCAAAGGTGGGTTAGCGCTAACCCTGGGTTAAATTTAACCTGCTGTTTTAGTTTGTGTATTTCTACAAGTCTGTTTTCAAAACTTCAAAAAAATAAACTCCTATCGATCCAGACAAGATATGTGAAGAAATATTTTCAAATTTATAGACAAGCTGTCAGGAAGTTTGGATTGAATTTTAGGTTAACCTAGGGTTAAGCTACTGTAACCCAGCTTCGAACAACCGGCCTCAGGGCTTTAGTAGTTTTGTGCTTTAATAATCTAAATTATGCCAGAAGTGTGAAGGGTCAGTGTGCAATAGCCAATTTTCTGTCATGAATGAGTCATTACAGTATGGTACAGGTAGAGCTGTCCATAGGCCTGCAATAATGCAGGGGGAGGGGATGTAGCTGGACCCATTGACCTGCAATTTGGCCTAATGTGCTCTGTCTTGTTAAATTAATGTACTCTGTCTTGTTAATTTACTCTGTCTGATACCAAACAATTTTAACTATATTTCCATGCTTCATACTAAGTCCAAAAAAGAAATGCCTGGGTTTCTATTTCTCATATGCAAAAATAAGATCTTAAAAAAATTAGGGTTGGTGATTTCTTTGGCCTAACTCATTAGTAAGCCCTAATGTCTCCTGTAATATACTTTACAAAAATAGTATTAAATCAAATTTTACCTAGTAGATGGTTAATTAAGCCAATATATATATCTGGTAATCCATTAGACATGGCTACCATAAGGGAATCCCCTATTTGGCCTAACACTATCTAGATTATAATAGGTTTTGTTTGTGGAAACACCACGTAAATTTATTACTGCAAAGCTTTCGATCCGTAAGCCCGGATCTTCATCAGTGCTAATAATATGTGACTTGTTTAATCCACACGCTCTTTTTATATACAAAAGTGTCGTGATCTGTTGGTCGTCACGACACTTTTGTATATAAAAAGAGCGTGTGAATTAAACAAGTCACATATTATTAGCACTGATGAAGATCCGGGCTTACGGATCGAAAGCTTTGCAGTAATAAATTTACGTGGTGTTTCCACAAACAAAACCTATTATATTTTATCACCATGCAAACATACAAAGAACTTATTACTATCTAGATTATTCTTGCTGTCTCGATGCCAATTAAATCTAAAACATATTAAATAAATCTGATTTTATCAATTCCTATTTTTGCAGCTTTTGGTCTGGATGATACAGTCTATGGAAAGACAGCTGTTATGCAGTACAAGGTACAGGACAAATGCTGTGGGGCTCGAAGAGAGGAGTAACTAAAAGCAAACCAGCTGAGTGAGACTTGACATTAACAATTAATGACTTTTAGGTACTCATTATTTATTTCTGGCCATGTATATAAATTAAATTATATAATATTAGGAAATTTTAAATAAGCGTAGGTTATAATAGTATAAAGTGTAATTACTCTGCCCCAGGGGCCGGTTGTTCAATGCTGGACTAGCTTGCTGTTTTAGTTTGTGTATTTCTACTGCACACATCTGTTTATTTTAAACTTCAGAGAAGAAAACTTGTATCGATCCAGACAAGATCTCTGAAGAAATATTTCTACATTTATAGACAAGCTGTCAGGTTAACCTAGGGTTAAGCTAATCCAGCCTTGAACAACTGGCCTAAAATTTTGAAAGAGTGCTGTGAATTGGAAAATACTGATTTTGACAAATTATGTATCCTATTAAATACATGTCGCTTTATGTATTTATGAAACTTACTACTCGATCTACAAACATTGCTTTTATCGGTTATTATGAGTTTTACAGCAGACTACAAACTACAGTGCAATTTAGCTTGTATTGTGATATATTTTTATAGTTTAAGAGTTTGTTATTGTCAATTTGTAAACATTTATACTGTTCAGCCGTGAGCTGTTGCAATTTTGAAACATATATTCGCTCATAGCTGGTCATAATATGTATGATTTTGAAATTTATTGTAATGTTTGGACCTAAGATGGTATTGTCTTCCTTTTGATATAAATATATTTTTGAGTTCCGTTCATTATTAATACGTAAAAATAGCCTGTTGAGTAATGACATCTGAACTGCAGTATCAAGTCAAAATGTTTTGTTCTAGTGAATTGTATCACATAATAATGTATCGAAATGTACACCAAACCGACATCGCCGGTGTAAATTCTGTTTCATTTACTCCAAAAGTAATTTAAACTGCCAATTTTTTTAAAGTTTGAATTCTCGAGCCACCATCACCATTTGTGGAGTAGTTTTTTATGTATCTAAGATTTGGATTAAATTTCACTCCTATATGACCACCGTCTAGTATTACAAATAGAATGTCATATTCATTCATGTATTTGTTTAGCTTTTTGATCATTTTTTCAAGGGAAAAAATGACCGGGGGGTAGATACATCATATTCGATTGATAAGTCACTGTAGCGACATCGAATTTAAAACATATACCACATTGTTCCCTATGAACATTCTCGATCGTTTGTGATACTTAAAGATACATATGTATTTACGTTTGTTTTCAGCGTCAATTGGTTCAGGAAGTGGCATCGTAAATTTATTGTTATAATTCTCTTTGCCCACATTGTTGTGTGCATTAAGGCCCGGTCACACTACACAACGATAACGATACGATAAATTGTAAACACGCGATAATTGGCAAAAAAAATTGTGTTAGTGTCCACATAACAACGAAAATGGTAAAATTATCGTTAGACGATAACGATAACGATTTTAAAATCGCTCACCTGAGCGATTTTTTTTTCAGTCGGACGATAACGATAAATTTTTGACCAATCAGCGCGCGTATACAAGTTATCGTTATCGTTGTGTAGTGTGACCTGGGCTTTACTTACAATCTTAATGTTCCTTCTACTTTTTGTAGTTCTTCGCGATAAAAATACCCTTTGTATGTTACTGGATCGGTAATAAACACTTTACTTATTTAAAATTTTTCACCAAACCAACGTTGCAAATTGGATTTTTCAAATACGCTATTCTTAATACGTGATTAACGAACCGTGTCACCAACACGTAATAGACTACGTGTGGGACGCAAACTGTTTAATACACTTTTTAATAGTCGAAATTCATTCACAGGGTTTTTCTTCACATAAATATTGTGCGGTGTAGCACCGAACAAACCTCGATGCGGTGATTCGTTGTAACGTTCTAGAATTAGCGGCAAATAGTGAATGTAGCGAAACCCAAATCGAGTGTCGTCAGTGTACATCGAACCATTTGTTTAAATGTTTGAATAAATCGTTCGGCGTGTACTGCTTTTGTTTCTCGATTAAAAGTATGAAATAGTTTAAAAGCATATTGTGGTCCAAGTTTATGTTTAATCAATGAAAATTCTGTGCCCTCGTCACTTTGTACTTTTTTTGGCACTCCCCATTCCAATAAAAGTTCCTCAAATGTTTTCGCCACATTCGTTGCCGATTTTGTTTTCAATAACCTTGACGAACGCATAGCGGGAATGAACATCAACACACACAAGCATATAACGATATTGATTACTATAACGTGACAATTCATTTAAATCTGCTAAATCAATACTCCATTGAACATTACATTTATCTACGAG